GGTGAATTAACAAGTGAATGTTAACCCTCGACTATAGGCGATAAGCCGGAAATATCTTTGATAAGGCGACGGGGGAACCATGAGAAATTCAAATGTTTGATCACTGTTGGAAATTTTACGAAATTTCATGGATAATGCGGTAGTAATTCTCAGGAGAGTGACGTTGAATCCGATTTAGGGGAAAAATGGTTATGGAATTTCGAGGTTTATGGAGAATTCAAGAAAATTTATGAGCTTTCAGTGGGAGTGAGATGGAAATTTCACAACTTTACTGAATTATCAATGGGATATAAATATTCAGAAATAAAATGACATGAATTATCAAATTTTCAGTGATTTTTCCTGATTTCTTCGAATTCTCACGGAATAGTTGAACTGAAAAATCATGTGTTTTATTGATTTTTAGATCAATTGAACAGAAAATCAAACGTTTTCCTAAAATTTCAGTGGAAATTAAATATGAAAAACTTTGTTAGCACTGTATGAGTCATCACTGCATCTGGTAAATTTTTTAAACAATAAAACTGATATGAATGTATCACGTGACCCCGAAAACTGCACTTTGCTTGGTCGAAATGAGAATTGAGGAAATTATCATTGGGATTGCCATGTTTAATGATTTATCATTCCACTGCAGAAGTCAATTTCCGTGAAATGAAGTGGTGAAGAGGGAGGCGAAAATGTGAGGTTGGTTGTTGGGGGTGTGCCCCCCTCCCCGCCTTATCGAGGTTAAGGAGGGAAAATGGGCTCTGGACGATTGGCATCGTATCGAACGAGAAATTAATTAAGTAGCGTCGAGGTTCGTTGAAGATTCGTGAGCGCTGAAGATGAGGTGGGTCTGTCTTCTCCTTCTCTTCGCCCTCCGCCCCTTCCATTCCTCTCTGGATGCACTCTGGTGAGAAGTGAGAGGACAAAAAAAGTATAAAACAACGGAGAGAGATGAAAAATGAAGAGAGAGAGAGAGAGAGAGAGAGAGAGAGAGAGACAGACAGACGAAATGAGAGAAAAAAAATGTTAAGGAACGAAGCGAGACGAGCAGAAAGAGTCCCGGCTATCAGGGTCATTAGTTACGGATGTCCCGTCCAAACCGACGACCACTCTCGTCTCGATAAACGGAAAGAAAGGTCTGCGTGAATGTTGTAAGTAAAAGACAAGGAGAGAAAGGGAGTGAGGGAGGTAGGGAGGGGCTATGCAACCGGTAAGAGCCACAAATAATATCTATAACCCTTGGTAATATAACGGTCAGCTGAAACGAACGGTTATCCGAACCTCTTAAAGTGCACTACAATGTTTTTTTTTCTATCTGTTTCTCTTGTCTGGCTTTTTTCTCGTTTATTTTTTCTTTCTTTTATTTTTCACTGATATGCCAAAAACTTACACGACCGCCTGGAGTCAGGGTTATATCGTCATTTCTCTCAGTCGTTTAATGCGGGCTGAGGTATGCCGTGGATGGAAGAAAAAAAACGAAGGTATTTACTATAATGGACGTTGTGAGTCACTAATTGAAAAGAAAAAATTGGATGGAGGATAAAGGAAGAGTGAATTCTTCAGTGTTGAATGGGGTAATTTATGTTATCGTTATGTAATTTTTGAATTCTGCAAAGTTTTTGAGATTATTTCAGGGATTTACTGGGGGATTTACTTTTAAATCCGGTATTGATGGAGCGTGAAATATTCAGTTTTTGGAGAGGTGATAAAACGTTACAATAAAAAAAATACGCTAAGAAAAGAAGAGTGTTTCGAGACGTTTTTGCATTAAAAAAGTTGGGATTTTAGACTTAAAAACGAGTGAACAAATTGATTTAACCAGACTTGATTTGAGAAATCTCCTTCTTGTCATAAAAAAATTATCCTCGTCTTTCGGACAAGCACAAAATCTCTTTCTCAGTGTAAGATATTTTCTTCAAGATACAAGTAAAGGCGTACTCATCAAAAAACGACTTTCTTAGTGTAATTTTTAGAGTTTAAATTACATGTTTTAAGTGGAATTGAATTAATCGAGTGAGTGTCAAGCAGCATAAAAATAAAAACGAATTACTCGCTTTGGGAAGCACTAATTGAGCCTCAAAAGGTCAAAGAACATTTTTGACATTATTGGGAATAATTCTCGTGCCAATGAATTTTCAATTCGTCATTGTTAACCTCGTCGAAAAATGTTCATCGAGCGTGGAATACAGAAAATTGCTTGAATGTCGACCTAAAAAACAATTCCTGATGCTCTATTGATCTCTGTGTCAATACTCACTGGTGAATGTTACACGATGACTGGCCCCTCACGTCGCCTTTGACATAGAAATAACATTTTTCCAGTCGTTGAGATGTTTTTACCCCGAAACTAGTTCTGAAAAAAATCGTAACGAAAATATTGACAGATAAAGGGAAACCCCCATTTCGTTATCTCAATCAGTATTTTTTTCTGTAGCTTCGTAATTGATTCCATCGCTTTGACAAATTTATCGATTGGAGTTTCGTTCATTTATCAGAGTTTCAACGCTCGACGGAAAAAACACATGAAACAATTTCAATATTTTCCATCAACCCGACAGATTTTCAATTTGAAATTTCAAAAAGTCATTGACACTTTTCAAAGTTAAATAAATCTCTCCGGGGGCCCCCCGAAAGTCACCACATGGCATCCAACTTCCTGCATTACGTCAGCACGCGTTCCAACGGCACTGGGATACAGGGAGAGAGAGAGAAAGAGAGAGGGAGAAAAAAATCGCCGACATATTTTCGCACGTGTTCTTCGCGCGTCCCTCGAACAAAACGAATGGAAACAAGCCGAATGAACGAATAAAAAAAAAACAGCCAAAAGAAATAAGTAAAGAATCGCCACGGAAAATATGACCCGAGATTGCGCGCAGTGCGATTGGGTTTTGTGCGCGTCGCGGGAAATCAGATAAGGGGGGTCCTTCGGATCGAGAGAGGATTGCGCGTCCTCTTCGTAGGTATCACCTTCCCCCCTCCCCATCTGAGAAGAAAGGAAAAGAAAGCCCTGGGCTGATGGGGCCCGGGGCTCCGCGAAATAACCCAAGTATGTATCGAGGAGTCTCTTTTGTACGTACGTAACATGCGTGCATAATTTACACGCGGGTAAAGAGAAAAAGGGAAGGTAAGACGCTCGAGATTTATTTTATCTTTTACCAAACGAAACAATGAACATATCTGAAATGCTCTTTGGTGCGTCACGAATGCTTGAAATAAGGAAAATAAGAAGGGAAAAAATGTTCATACGAGAATAAATACGGAGGAAAATAAGCCCCTCTTATCACAGAGAGAGAGAGAGAGAGAGAGAGAGAGAGAGAGAGTGAGCATTATTTTCCCCCGTTTTTTTTCTCCGTGGTGCTTTCAAGAGACCCTGCTAGCCAGATGGAGACACGCGTGTGCGACAAATCCCGTGGCCCTGCCCAGTTCGTAATATTTTACAAGTGCATGAGTTCTGTTGCGGGCAGGGAAGGGGGCTGGACCCCTCTCTGTACCGCAGTACGGGTGGTTGAACGCCGGAGAGAAAAGTGAGACAGGGAGGAGAATGAGAAGCGGGTGTAAGCAGCGAGAAAGGTGAAAGCCCACGGGGAATAGTGGATGCCACAAGGGGGTTCAAGTGGTGCGAGTGTTCGTGTTGTTGGTGTAGGGAGGGCAGGCGTGCCCGCTGTTATCTCGTTTGTTCCGAGGGATGAAATATTGACTGGTAGTTTCAGAAACTTCTCACTTGAAGCGAGAGAGTTATTCTTCTTCACCACCAGTATTTCGACAATTTCTTTGTCTTGCTGGGGGAGACAGTTCCGGATGTTCGGGGATATTGTTACATTATTTATCCATTAGGAGTCAACTGTAATTAGTCGTCTTTCGGAACAAAACACTCGAAAAAATAATACCTTAATAATACCATATTCCAAAGGTCTTAAAATAAGATTTTCGAAAGTCTTCATTTGAAGCCTGAAATTATCAAGCCGAAAACCTCAATTTGAGACTTTGAGATCTTAATTTAACCCTTCACATACGGGGCCCTTCTGCTGCCAAGTCTAACGAGGGTTCAGTATCACTGCGATTCGATAACTTCTGATGGTTGAAAAATTATGAAACCCATATGTAATTAAAGCTCTCCTATTCAGATTACCGATGGCGTTGGTTTAATCATGTAAATTTGAAAAGAGTCATGCATTTTCTCAAATTGATATTTTTGAATGCCTCAAGTTGAGACTTTCGTAACTCAATTTGAAATTTTTCTTCAGGGGAAGTTCTAAAAGTCTCAACTTGAGATTTTTGAAAGTCGTAACTTGAAACTGTTAAAAGTCTCATTTTGAAATCATAAGTCTTAAAATAAAGCTTGTTTTTTGGATGAAGCTTTTACCAGTTTACCAAAAAAATAGCAAGAACAGAATATTGTTCCTCCATTAATCGATGCTTCCCTTAATTTCCCTCAACCTTTATCTCCATATAAATCCATAATGTGGCAAATGATATAAATCCCCACCGATGAATTAAACCCACCAAAGATAATTTGATTGCACACCCTACAAGAGTTGTTAAACTTACACATGAATGAAATAGTGGGTCAACATCAAACTCCCTCAGGGCAAGAAGAGTGAAATATTGTTCTCGATCAACAATAGTCCCGCTGTGTTTCTTAACATCAAACCCACGGATACAAAAAGATAAAATAACGAATCCATAAAGCGAGACAGAGATATAAATACGTATATATATCCAGTTTCGTGTCTTCGAGGAGAAGGTAACATTCGAGCTGACGACATCCCGCTGCTTGCCGGTATCCTTTCATGTAGGCCGCCCTGTGCGACAGCAGGAGGTATCGAGGCTTAAAACCGCTGTTATATATATGTACACAATCACCCCGAAAGATCCCAATGTTTATTCGCAAGTGATTGTACATAAATCTATTATTGCCACATTAGTGGCAAATTCTTGTGAATTTTCCCACAATTTGCATAGTCGATGGAATAAGTTGGAAAAAATTCTTAGAGTTCCTTTTCTATTTGCAGAGCGTTACGACACAGCGTACGAGTGCGAGGGCAAAACGCTCAAGATTGAGTGTGGCGAGGGTGAATTGATACACCTGATAAGAGCCAACTATGGGAGGTACTCGATAACGATATGCAATGAACATGGGAACACTGATTGGAGTGTGAACTGCATGTCGCAAAAGTCATTCAGGGTGCTGTACGGCAGGTAAGGGAGTCAAAAATAAAATAAACGTATCTGGGTTTCCAATTCCAATTTCACCATTTACATTTTTGTTTTTGTTCTGTATTTTTTTTTTTTTCATTCTCACCGTAAAACGCACATCTCGCACAAGAGGATTGTGCGAAAAAAGACGAGAAAAGAGGTTTGAGATAACAAGTAAGGAAGCGTTGGTGGGGGAGAGGGGGTATAAAGAAAGTGAACGAACAAAGCGGCTTCACGTGGTAGAGCGAACTGGCCAATTGCTCGACCATTGAAGCTCGCATTGGCTTCGGGTATACGTGGATAGAGAGTCAGCGTCACTCCTCTATCAACGATCTGATACCCGATGCTGAGAAAATTTCGTTCGTACACTTTTTCTAACTGCAAAACCTCTCCTTTCTCGATCTTTTTTCGCACGAATAATCGTACAATCTCACCTTATCCAACAGCATCCGATCAGAAGAATCCCCTCTGGGTTTTTTGTGGATAAATGTATACATGTTATTTAAAGTGAGGGAACACCTTCTAACATTCTCATGTGTTTCTGTCAATTTTTTCTGGGTTATTCTACACCATTTCACATTTAATCGTATCCCTCGGGTCTTCATTCCCTAGTTTCCCTGGGTTATCTATCTTCTTTTTGGTTATACTCACTACCGTGATACCTTTTTTCCCCCCTCTCGGTCGCTGTGTATAATCCCCGGGATTGATTGAATCAGATTACAGCTTACTGGTTTTATTTCCCCCCCCCCTCTTTTTAATTTGCTTCTTGCTTCATTGACTTTTTGAAATTCAATAATCATCATTTTCCTTGGGAAACTCATCAGCGTAACACTACCACCAGCGTCCTCTTTAATGAAAGTTACTCTATTCATCCTTTTTTTTCACGTACTGGTTTGATTCATAAAGATTAACAAACGTGACCCAATTATCTCTGTCAGCGCCAGAGGTATACTGAACTATCTACATGGCTGAGTTTAATTTGAATCATTTTTTCCGTAATTGCTTATTACTCTCATTTCAATTTTATAATTGTCTCAAATACTGTTACTCTTTTTATCTCCATTTCTGACAAACGAGACTGCCGTCTGGCTTTGAGACACCAAAAAAACTCTGTTAATTTGGTTTTTTTCATATCAAATTAAAAATTCCCAGTATGGAGAAACAATTATAAACAACCTGTTTTTACTGCTCCAAATCCATACATTCCTCCTTCTCTCCCCCCCCCCCCCTGGAATTATCGAGACGGCATCGGTTGGCCAGTCGACTGATGCGTTGCGATATACCGAGATAATGAAATGAAACAAAAAAACGAAATTCATTCGTTCCCTCCAGATGATAAATTCATACTCCACACATCCTACTCAACTTGTGTACGAGTTTGCATGCGTTAATTACGAAAATGTGATGAGTTCACAGGGAATTGAAACCCCCATTTGTTGTTTAATCAATCATTAATCATAAGTTCGTGTGCGCCGTCATGGATTGTATTTGTTGAGTGTTACATTGTGATATTTAATCCAATCTTTTATCATGAAAGCAATTTTCCATAACCAGTGTAAAGTGTGGCCCCGCTGCATACTCCCCCGGAAAAATACAGTTTTCTGAATTTTTTAATATTCTCACAAGACTACATGCTCCCCAAATCCACGGCTTTGTCGGGTTATTTCGAGATGAAAGACCGGAATTTTCAAAATAACAATATATTACAGACTAGTTGCACGAAGACGACTATTTTGCCCATAAAATAAAATTAAAAAATTCATGTAAATACCGTAAAATATCAGGAATACTTGGAATATACGGGCATCAGTGATGGCTCACGATCGATGGATACCGCCGTCACTATCGTTGCATTGTGGGGAGAATACATCGTATATTATGTAAGGCATATACAGTATATAGTAGGTGGCTGCGGTTAAAGGCGAATGGGTAGGCGTTGAAACCAGTATTGGAGACATACCCGAGAGACGCATTTAGTGGTTGTAGGTTACTCAAAATTGACATAACAGAGAACAAGGTCTCATCCAATGATAACCCATTAGGCATGGAAGGTGTTAATTGTCTCGGAGCACGCAGAATAGTTGCTTTATTTATTCTTTATCAAAAAAGACATGAGGGAAAAAACTCGAATTGAAAAAAGTCGAACTCGGAATATCTCGAATGAGAATAAGCTTCAGGGGGAACGCCGACATATGGCATTGAATAAATGGACACGGTGAATGGGTATTTTTATGAGCGATTTTTGCGAAAATGAGCGCGACTTTGAAGCATATTCCTAGCCTGAAATGAGAAACAAGAAAATAATCTACAATGATATCTATCAGTTGGTATTCTCTATCTATGTACACATTAATTTGGCTATTACGAAAGATAATATTATAAAATCCATGCAAATTCACAGAAAAAACTAACACAAAAAAGGGTTGTCAAATAAAAATGATGTGGAAGTGTCGCGTGACCCCCAACACTGCCTCTGATTTGTTGAAATCAAAGCGGGTTAAGCAATGTTAAAAATTCGAGAAATTTCTCTAGTTTTCGCACCAATTTCACAAAACTCTCGAATTTTCTACAGTACGGGCTAGAGAAGATTATCAGCTTTTATTGACAATTCGATGAAATTTTGGAAGTTTTAAAAAAATTTTAAGTTCACGGAATCGTTGTAATGGAATTGTGGAAAAATTGTGAATGGAGAGAGAATACCCCGAATTCGTGTAAAGGCGACAGAATCGGTTAGATAATGTTAACAGAATAATTACTGAATGCGTCTGTAGAGGATCAAAGTCGAATGGAAAAGAGAGTGGATAAGAATTACTTATTGAAATATGAAAATTGAACAGGTGACGAATGGAAACACATTGTTTAAAAAAATCATATATAATTAATTTTGGAGAAAATTTGAAAAGGAAAAAAAGAAAAAATACAAGGAATAGACATCAACTAGTTGGCAAACAATTTGAATAGCCGCTGTCTAGTCATCTCCCATCAACCCAACAATTTTCCGCAAAACACGGTGGTATAATCCCCGAGAATCGCCTATTACAAACCCACTCCATTCGGAATTAAAACGGCAAATTATTAATCAACATTAATTCCCCATTTTTATTCCCCTTTACATGAAATTTTTATACGGTAATATGCAGTTGAAATAATGCCACAATCACCACTGCTATGAGCATTACGTGAAATTGCCAGGCTGAACCTTTTCCCTACTTGCGTTTCGTATTAAAATTAAAATCCAATTTTCGGTCATGTCCGCCCACGCGAGTGGACCAACCCCTCCTACAACCCCTTCATTCCTCTCAGCTCACAGGGTATTTTCCCGCGCCACCTTTAATCCAATTTCCCGGGCTAAATCCTGATTATCGCGGTATGCTAATTGCAAACGAAATTCGTTAACGAGTCCACTGGTCTAATTAACAGGATCATTATAATACTCGAAGTAGCGTGTTTCAAATAGTTTTGTGATAACGTCAATGATAGGTAAATGTGCAAAAAAAAGCATTTGTAAATTAATCGGTACATAGGGGAAGGGAGGTTGAGGGGAAACGTAGACTCATTTGGTCGGGTTAATCTTGATCTGAGGGCTGTTCACGTAATTCCAGAATTCTCGAGGCTGGTTTAGCAGTTATTAGGAGCATTAGCAGTTTTTTCCAACGTGGGAATTGAAGGATTTATGGTAATAAACGCCATTAAGTTGTTGTAGACAGGAGTGCTGTTGAAAAAGAGGAAAGAAACACGGTTAAAAATTGCTGACTGCAATTTCCGGTGCACTTATTGGAAGTTTTTATCAAGTGACTGTCACAATTAAATTTCAAAGAATTTTATGATAGATAATTTATAGTCTGATGAGAAAAACATAAAGTTTGATAGGAATTAAACAAATTATTGAAAACTCCGAATAATTTGGTGTTGAGGATTCAGACTTTGACTGAAGATTTAAATAACTCGGAAAATTCTTGGTCTCTTGAGGCTAATAAATTAGAAATTGCATTGATTTTTCAGTGAAATTTGTAATTTCACGATTTTTCCTCCCCTGATTCGAGGTTTCCATTTTCAATTTTTTTCTAACAGTGTTGCTGAAAATTTTTGGCTTAAACTTGTCGTGCATTTATTGAAAATTCTTATTAAGTAAAAGTTTCACTGAAATTCCAAGGAATTTTGTAATTGAAAGTTCACAATTTGATGCAAAAATTAATGAAAACTATAAATTTTAGTTTAATTATTCCATAAAAATTCATAGAAATCCGGAAAATTCAAGTACACACACCTACAAGTTTCTTCAATTTTGAATTGATTAACAATTCAGCGCCATTGTCTACTAAATATTCAGGATTCGATAGAAACCCAAGTGATTTAAGAAATTCTTGAATTTTTATGATTTGTTTTCCTTCCAAATTCAACCTCAATTCCCTTGAGAGTCTCAACTAAACCATCCTTGGAATTTCAATTGAGTCCTAACAGTAAAGGTTGAAATGAGTGCTAAGAATAAAACATCTAAATAATTTGACACTTCCATTCACCTCAAATCCCCCGGAATACATATAAAATCGTTAAAAATCAGTAACGTCTAGCCGTTGAATTACTTATCCCCCGTCAGCCTCTGATACGACACTCGAGACGTGTCTTTGATGCGCCGAAAGAGAGCTAGCTGATAATGGGGATTACGGGTGGAGGTGAAAGAGATCAATAAAACCGGGTAGAACGTTATAATATCTGAGTAGCGTTTCAATAGGGGAATGAAGCTATAACCGGTGAGAACAAAAACCAAGGCGTGAGGGTATCCACAGAGCATTTCGCCGCGGTATTTTGATGGAACACTGTAGTTCAATATTTCCCCCCAGTACCCATACTGTCAGGCCATAATTAAATAATACCACCGGGCGTATCACATGCATCAGCACCAAATGACAGTTTCTCGTGTCCAACCGTCTGTTTTCCAAACTCCCTTCATCTGATACGGCTTTTCCCTAGAATATACGTTTACCTTTTCCAACATTTCACATCTTTTCAACCAAATCAAAACTTTCTCATGTTGTTAACGTTGAGACGAGCTAGACGGTATGTGGGGTATCGCATACGCAAGGCATAATGGCGATGAAAAGCCGAAGGGGCTCCGGTTTCTTCTCTATCGCTGCTGGCATGGCTATTCTCCTCTATCTGAAAACCTACACACTTGAGTTGTTTTTCATCGATTAATTGTGAATACATGGACAATAACTCGGCCGCATGCTTATCTCAGTCATGAATGAGGATGATAAACAATTGGAAAAATTCTCTTTCACAAAATTGAAGTGTGTCAGACGGAAATGTTGGAAAATATTTCCAACTAATGATTCATTACTTTGACTCAATTCGAAATAACAAGAGATCCTACATTGATATTCTCAAGTTTCATTCAAACGAGAAGCAGCACGAAACCCGGGTGATTTTCTGTTATTTGAATAAAACTGTTTTTCTGGGTTACTGTGACCTTCTTCCCTTATTCTCCCTTCTTCAAGAATACTAACTTTTCACCGGGATAAATTCAGCTCACTGCTTCATTGTTCCCTCATCGTCACAAAAGTGGGGAAAAATAAGGCGAAAAAAAAAACAACAACGCACAACAACAACAAACATTTTCTGTCGCTAATTCTTCGTCTCATTACTGTCACTGCTGCTAACACTCTGTGCATTCATTATTCCCCAATTGTTCTGTCAGAACACAAGACCTTCTCGCGCTCCAGGCTTTATTTGTTCCTTCAATGCGTTGTCTCTCTGGTCCGTTTGTTGTCCACGTATTACAACTAACCCACCTTCAAAAACTCCTTCATTCAAATGGGCTTTGCATTAACAATACCTCGTAATTTCAATTCCCGTGATGGGTTTGTTATCTTTTCTCTCTCAAAAATAATTAGAAGGAACCATTTTAACATAAGAACAGAAGGGGGTAGGGGGGAGAACAACTAGAGTTTCGTATTTCTTTTTTTTTTGTTATTTATTTTTGTACGTGACCAACGCAGGTGCAACGGTCGTCGCTCGTGCATGCTGGAAGTGAACAGTCAATTTTTCGAGGAGGACCCATGTCCCGGAACCGGAAAATACATCGAAGCACAGTTTCATTGTATAGGTTGGTTTTCTATTTTGTTTTTGCCCCACCACCACATTTTTTTTTTGCATTCCACCCGTCCACCCCTTCTGGCGCATCGAGCTCGTCCAACGGAGAACAGAAATGTCGATAATTCCAAGTGGATTTTGTTTCTTCAAACAAGTCCGCGGGGTCATTAACCATGCAACCACCACTTGAAATGACTCTTTCAAGTGTCGCTGATGAATGAAAAGTGCTTCTTGGCTTTTCTGTCAATTGTATATAGGTCAAGCGTGCAAGAACACGTGCAAAATTCCTTGACTCGGTTTAAAGTGGATCGAGGATGCATGGCCGTCGAAGCGTATCGCTGAATGTGGTATTGGGGAAAACGACCGTACTGGGAATGGGTTAGGATGAAGCTGAAGGGGAGTCAGCCAGAGACAAATAAAAATCAATCGACGCGATAAAAGCCCACGATTTCCCATTTTACCTTTCCGAGAGAAGAAAGAGGAGAAAAAGAATGAGAAAATGTTAGGGAGTAAAAAAATTCGAGGGCGAGAGAGGGAGAGGAGCAAAAAAGAATTGAAAGGGAGTACAAACGGGGAAAAAGTACGATAATGTCTAGCGCCAAGCGAAAGATTTTACGAGAGGCTGAACGCCAATACGTGGTCCGCCTTCCTGAACGAGCTGGGCGAGATGCTCCAGTGTGCGAAAAATGATGGCGTATTATCCTTGCACAAATTCACGACGTAACGTATTATAGCACTAAACTTCCTGGGATTTTTCCGGTGGGAGAAACAAGCAGTTATAAATTCTGATGGTAGAATTGATTCCCAGGGGCATGATAAAAATGTGTTCGATGACTAATGAACAAATATCACAAATACCACAAATACCTTGCAGATCCATGACAACGCGCGATAGACAAAAAAAAATAATAATGAATCAAAATTTCTAATGAACTTTAATTTCCTTTCTTCTCCTCGCCGAATCTCATCAGGTGCAATGAGAAACAGAACTGCAGTATAACGGCGTCAACGTCGCATTTCGGGGATCCATGCCCAAACACCCTCAAGTATCTTGAGGCGCACTATCAGTGCCTGTCTGGTAAGTAAACTCACAATTGTCACGTTCTCCTTGGATTCGATAAAAGGAATGACGAGAATAAACACTGAAATGTACGCATGAACGATGAGCTCGAAATACGCCGATAGTGAGCCCTGTTTTTTTTTCAATGTGAAAGAAGCCAAGTGGAAGTTGAAAAAATATGTATATATCCAATCGGAGATAGCCCAGATAGAAAAATAAAGCGTGTCTTTTGCAGCTGCCACAACGACGACAACGTCAAGGCCAAGTCCACCGTGGCTGATAACTTCACAGCCGAGTGTATGGAGTACAGCGAGCCCAAGTGTCCGCCCACCATCGAGGGCAACGAGTCCACCGTCCCAGCTGCCAGCGATAACAACCCTCAGCCCGCCTGTGACAACACCCCTCAGGTAAACTGCAACGTTGAACATTTTTATCCTACCACTCTTCACATTCTCCAGACGACAGGCTAAATTGACATAAAATATTCAATATTTTTCAGTTCAACGAGCACAATGAGGACGTTGGATGAGAATGACGAGGATCAGGTTGAATTGAATCCTTCGAGGGGTAGTGGTGCACCAGTGGTGCCCACCCCCGAGACCACAGAGTCAACGACAGAGACTGGATATGCGTCGTGGAAAACGAGCAGAAGACCCATAGGTACACAATGCTGAATTAAATTGAATAGCACTCGCATTCCATATTATAATGGATTTTCGTCATCAAAGGGCTTTTAATTAGAAAGCTGACCGCTTTGTTTAGTGCTTCCCATTGTAATTGTGCAAAATGATTGTGTCGATTAATTCGGGATTAATCGAAACATTAAGACCATCTAAATTGCTCTACAGTTGTTATCCGTGATTTCTTTCGCAGTGTCGACCAGTATTCCCTATTCCGATCCCAATGCAAATGGTAAATGGTACGACTACAGCCGGTTGTACTGCCAGTCAACAATGGCAAGGAATCTCTTCTGGAATGCCACGAGAACAGGTGACATTGCTGTACAAAGCTGTCCAGGTGGTGCTAATGGTGTGGCTAGATGGCGATGTATTGCAGCTGAGGATTCAGCCACCTGGTACAGGGATTCCCCGGATCTCAGCGAGTGTCGGTCCGTGTGGCTGTCATCCCTCGAGACACGTGTCCAATCGGGTGACAAGATTCTCACAATTAGTGATGATCTCTCTGCTGTTACCAATAATAGCAGAATATTTTACGGTGGTGACATGATGATTACCACCAAAATTATAAAAAATATGGCGGAAAAAATGAGCCAGGATATCAGCACTTATCGTGACTCGAGTCAGAGTGAATTCACGGTCACTGAGTTGTTGCAGGGTGTTGTTAGAACTGGAAGCAATTTGCTGGATAAAGCGCAAATGGCGTCGTGGAAAGATTTGAGTCACGAGGATCAGATGAGAGTTGCAACCTCGCTACTTATTGGTCTTGAGGAGAATGCTTTTCTCCTTGCTGGCACGCTACATCATCAGAAGACCATTGTTCAGGAGGGGAAAAATATTTGTAAGTTGCAACACCTAAATTGCTTTTCAGATAAATATCTAGAAAGTTTTCGTTTCATTTTTGAAGAGAAGAAAAAACATTCTGCAGCGCTCAAGTGAGAAGTTCCATTCGCTAATGGCATTTTCGCAAGAATTTTATTGCCGAACAGAGCCATCAATTTTAGGTCCCAGTAAACGGTACAATTAAAGATAGTTACGGTACTAATGTAGATTCCAATTTCACAAAATACAGAATAATAATCCGTGTAATAAGTAATAACAATGCCATTGCAACTGGCAATTACAGTTGATTTTTTTACAACATCGTAATGAGCGCTATTCGTACAGTGACATAACTTTATTACCCTCATCTCCCTATTTAGCATCAGTCTGAATGAATATTCCCCGGAGGAAATTTAATGCCGAAAATTTCAATAAAACCATTCTCTCATCCCCAGTAATGGAGGTACGAGTATTGGAAACACGAAATATTGACAATAAAGTCGAGGTATTTCCATCTGAATCAACGCGGGATAGATGGACAGCGTCGAATGATCGTGTTGAATTAACAAGAAAATCGCTATTGGAGAATAGAGAGGAGGGCCTAGTGAGGCTTGTTTTCATGGCATTTGATCGGCTGGAAGAAATACTTCAGCCACAGCAAGAGGAGTCTTTTGTTTCGTTGAACGAAGATGTTAGACAGCGTAACATCAGCAACAGGATACTAAACAGCAAAGTCATCTCGGCGTCGTTGGGTAAAGGACGTCATATTCAACTTTCGGAGCCAGTACGTGTTTACTTTGAGCATCTCACCACGGAGAATGTAACAAATCCCACTTGTGTATTCTGGGATTATGTAATGAGGTAAGATTATGAGAAATAAAAATGAAGAAATGAAAAAAGTTTATTTATGCAGACGTTTATAATAATGTATTTTGGACACAAAAGGAAACTTGAGCTCATTTATTCTATACTCGAGGTATTTCTCTTCGGGTTTCTATGCTCGCCAATCCCCCCCCTATTGGAGGCGGGAGGCGGTCTCGTCATAAATAGAAATTCACAAATCTCTAGAAATTCCTTTTCAGCAGTATAATGCCCTATCTGATCCTTTCTCTTCATTATTTGACCTTTTTCTTACATATTTCATTATTTCCACTCCATATTTACATACGTTTTGCTGAGATTCACCGAGAGATTTTCCTCCATTCTGGTAAAATTCAAAGCTTTCTCTCGTCCCTTTTTGAGTTTTGATGTGTTTACAGTTTCACTCTGCACCCCTGCAGACTTATTATCCTATCAGGTAGAACCTTCCAACTATAAGAGACGGAACTGAATTAAATTCAAAACTGTTTATAGTTCATGGTCGGAGGAGGGCTGTCACATACGTAAAACAAACGAGACACATACGGTATGTGAGTGCAATCATCTCACAAACTTTGCTGTACTGATGGACGTGCACGCCGTGAAACTGGACATGGCCCATCAGGTCGCGCTACAAATCATCACGTATATCGGATGTATCATCTCAGTGGTATGCCTCGTGCTGGCCATCATGACATTTCAGCTGTTTCGTGGACTCAAAGTGAGTTTCATTTTTATTTCCTCTTATGCAATTTTTGTTGATTAAAGTTTGCGGAGAAGGATGAAATTTAATAAAGTTACATTGCCCCGGATTCTGTGCTCTCATGGAATGTCTAACTATTATGTTACAGTCTGACCGTACGACGATACACAAGAATCTGTGTGTGTGCCTTCTCATAGCTGAGGTACTCTTCGTCTGTGGAATTGGACAGACGGATCAGAGGATTGTGTGCGGTGTAGTTGCTGGATTGCTACACTTCTTCTTCCTTTGTGCATTTGCATGGATGTTCCTCGAAGGTAAGACATTTCTTGACCCACTGCACAGCATAAAGATTCTGTCCAGAAGATAATCTCCTTTTGAAGAATAGTTTCTATGTTAACATCGAATGCAGAGGTAAATATTAGTGTTTTATTTTACTGTTTTGTTCAGGCTTTCAACTTTATGTGATGCTGATAGAAGTTTTCGAAGCAGAAAAATCACGATTACGGTGGTACTATCTGGTGGCTTATGGCGGTCCACTGTTAGTAGTTGTAATATCCTGCATCATCGATCCGTTGAGCTATGGCACTGATCGATATTGCTGGCTGAGGGCAGACAACTATTTCATCTTCAGTTTCGTTGGCCCTGTTATCCTCGTTATTCTGGTAACTTTGTCGTCTATTTTCACTCGTCGTTACTGTTTCAATGGCGGTGAAGAGGCTTTCATTGATTTATTGATTATTTCGGTTGTAACAGGCAAATTTGGTGTTCTTATCCATGGCCATATACATGATGTGTCGGCACGCCAACACCACTGTCTCCATGAAGAGCAAAGAGCATTCAAGACTGGCTAGTGCAAGGTAAGATTCCACTTGATTATGTTGTACTTGAAGTATGTAAGAACATACGGCTGTTGTGTTGTTACACCCAGTAAAGAACGTATATAATCGTGTTGAGCGAAGTTTGTTTATATATTGATGAAAATTTATTATTTATGCTTTTATCGATTATCATTGAGATTACACACAGGCTTCGCTAGCTTCGACTATATTTACAGAAGCTGTAATTGTGTTATCTCTCATGTATTTTTTTCTTCGACATTTTAATTTCATTGATTTTTACTGTGAACAATTCATTTAGTGTCATTTTGTTATTTTAATTTTGTTGGAATGAAGGCAAGTTTCGTATGACACGACACGCTAGTAAATTGATAATGGTCAGAGTCATGCTGTGTTAGCCATCGCTCACTCGGTTCATTAATGAATTCATCAATGACGCGTCAATTCTCTGATTACCCGCCCAATGACGAAATTTTCCACATCAAATCATTTTCGAATGTATAAGTATCACGTTAATACGATGGACATTTTTCGAAATAAATTTTCATTCTTCCCTTCGTGTATTGGGATATGGAATATCCAGGGTACTATTGAATTTTTTTTTTCGCTCCCAGTTCTCCATTGTTTCGAGCGTTAAATATCAAAAATTCCATTGGAAATTCAATATCCCAGTGTCACTGCAAAATACAGGTGATTTCTATTGGAAAATTCTCTGCATAAATTCGATTGCGTTCATATAATTCTAGTTTATCTCACAGAGGAAATTCATATTTGTTTTGCCAATAGATTGATAACGGTAATTGTTACTGGATACATTAGAGATGATAATGATTTTCGTTATCACTGAATAGTTGAACTCGACAAATGAATAAACTGATTAATGTATTATCAATTATTTATTTTATATTGGTGATGGTATGGATAAAATATAATGATTCCTGCAATTTCCGATTCGAATTACAGTCAAATGATGGTCAATTTTACCGATGTATAATTGGACGAATGAATGTCCTCAGGCAAACTATGTGTGCACTGTCTGCAATTTTTATTATTCACACGCAAAACGAGAAAAAAAAACAGTTCACTCGGTATCGACGCTGTTCCATTCACTGCGTGCACTAATTGTGTTGTTGAAGTTGGTCGAAGTACACAAATTATTATTCAAATTTTGCGCCCTAAAATTCAATGCCAATTATTGAAATCAGTAATGCGAATCGAGTAATTGCTGAGGAGAAATATGCATAGAAACGCAGACATTAAAATAAATCATAAAAAAATGGTGCCGGGATAATCACCTAACGTTGCTGTATTGTTTCATTTTTTTATTAAATCTTCTACCCACTTCTGTCTACACTGTTCTACATTCCTCTGCATGGCGTGGTTGGTTGGTAGTGGAAAGGAAGAAAATGCTCTTCCCAACAAATTGCAAGCGCACTTGTAAGATATTTACTATTTTTATTATTATCATTTTTGTTGTTAAATGTCTATCCACATTATCAGAATAACATCTTCTGTTACTTAGATAACGACTACTTTTCTCATGCCTTTACCCGTTATCCATCCACTCTTACTGTAGTTGTAGAGTAGAACTTACAGTATTATTTTGAACGTCAAGAAAACAATCTAAATCACTAAATAACAAATTCCATTTGCATGCTTCACAGAAAAACTCACTCATCAATATGCACGCCTGATTTTACTTTCATTTATCTTCATTAGATTTATTTATTTCTTCAAGTTCAACGTGGGATTTCAATCTCAATTAGACCCAACTCTAGTTTTACAATAAAAGTATCTTCGAAAACTTAAACTTCGTTCTTCAATGTTTCCTTTTTTATTCAATAATTAGACATTCTATAAGTATGGCGTTGAGATATTAATAATCCTATGCATCACAACACTCCGGGAAACGCGAATGAATGATGTATGAATTTACAAACACGAATAGTACCAGTTTACAAAATGACCCCACGTCTCCTCTGTCATTCTGTCAATTATTAATGTCCCAACGCTATTTATTATGATTCATCCGAAAATACATAAACCTAATCTATTCACCTCGCTCTCACTTGACAATATAGGGCATGGCTGCGCGGTGCAATCGTCCTAGTATTCCTGCTGGGACTGACCTGGACATTTGGCCTTCTGTATTTGAATCAAGAGTCAGTTATAATGGCATACATCTTCACTGTACTGAATAGCTTACAAGGGCTATTTATATTTGTATTCCATTGCGTGCAAAATGAAAAGGTAAGGGAGTACACTGGACTATCACCCACACTACTATAAAATTAATCAACTATTCATCATCATTGTCACACGAATGCAAGACCCGATAAGACGTAAAGTGTGTCAATCATCGCCGTCTAACGAATTGATTAACAACCAAGAAGTCAAGCAGAAAGAATACATGGAGTAAATAATTGAATTATGAAGTGTGTTAAAAATAAATCATGACACAAACGAGGATTATTCATTTCCTCTCTCTCCCACGAGCTTTCTCCTCACATAAGCTCATCCCCAGTTATTTTCCAATCATCTTATCAACACGCATTCCTATAAATCACGTAATCTCGACATTATTCTTCATTTCATCATTCCAATGAGTCACGCTTCGTAAATTTATTTGAAGATACAATTTATCTCACTATTCACAGCGGCTTTTTTGATAATTGCACGAGTTAATTGTTTTTCTTTCTCCCGCACCCTGGGGCTCATGTTTTACAGGTGAGAAAAGAATACAGAAAATTCATAAGGAGACACTCGTGGCTACCAAAGTGTCTGCGCTGCTCGAAGACAGTGACAGGCAGTTCAGGCGGTTCAACAGGGACAAGTGGTGGACCAGCTGGTGTTAACGGTGGAAAAGACTTTCCATCCCACAATACATCATCAAATCCGTCAGCACCAACGACAGATAGCTCTGGATTATCACCCCATGCAGCATCCAATGTGGGTACACCACCAAACAATCACAACAACCTGACAGCATCAACTAATAATACGAATCTTTCGATAAATGTGAACCTGAACAATTTGTCACTGAGATCGCCGAATGGCTCACACCAGATGCACATGATGGCACCTAGCAACCACAATAGGCATCACGGCCAACAAGGTATCCAATAAAAAACCGCTTATACACCAAACCAATATGGAATACCCGTTCGAGGTCTCATTTACCGCTTTACTGTCGCCTAGTAACCCATGTCCATACTCTTGAAGGTCAATTTTTCATTATTTTACAGTGTAAATTACTTGAATTTTTACGCTTCATGATTGTTTATATATTGAAGCAGGAGAGGAAATTGGAATAGAGAGTATGTGTCTATCTGGAGAAATACGCTCAACTCCTTAGCTCATGCATGACGATTATTATTTACTTTCATTTCAGTTATAGCACATTCTATTCTTTTTACTTCTGTACATTTTACTAAGCACTCAACTAACGAGACACATTATTTTTGTATAAATAGTACCTATAGTACAGTACATGTAATATAGCCGGCTTACCATACCGAGTTTAAAATTAGTTGAATTGTTAAAAAGACCTCTAGTTAAAAAATAACTAACAAATGGTGGTTCTTCCGTAGCCCCTGCGGGGGGTTTGGTGTACGCGGTTAACGGTTACTTTGTTCGCACCGTGTGCAACGGAGAATATGACAAGTGCCATACAATTGGTGATTTGTCCATGAAATTGTAAATATGGAGAGTAACAACTTTTCTGGAATTAACGTAGAAGAGCACATTTCTCGAAAGATTCGTAGACAAGAAAGACGAAAAAAAGGAACTGAACTCCTATATTTTTTCGTTTTCTCATGTAATTAGATTATAATTAGCTTCTAACACTTGGCTTTAATACTCACTAACAACGCACGCAGTCACATCAAACTTTCCGACAATCGATAAACACAGACTGTTTCAACGTATCAACAATGACAGAAACCATTAGAAAAACATGACTGTGTCTTGATTTGACGAGAGACTGAGAATAAGACATTCGATTTTTGGCAGCCAATAAGAATGGCAGAATCCCTTGCTTTACAGTACTTGATGTCTGGACGTGGATGGCAAAACAACATCGACAGACAACCAATGCCGGTGGCGAACGAGCCCCGGGAGACAGCATCGACGGATGCACACGCAGTGGCAACTCTTCCACACTCTCGTCACGGCTTCTTTCCATCCACCAATAATTTACCAAAATCAGCCACTGCCACTTGGGGCCCTATTAACAAAAACCTCATGTGGAAGGTAACTAGAAAAAACCGAAACTAGAGAATGAAAAGAACAAAACCTAGTGGAACAGAAACAGACTCAACTTTTCTCCTACTAACAATATTTTACTGTGGCGCTTTGGTGCACTTTTTCACAATTACTTTTCTGACTTGAGTTTGAATTAAAAAAAAAAACACCTCCAACAACAAAGTTACGAAAAGAGTGTAAAAACGTAAGACACGTTGTAGTTGTATGAGAACTTATGAATTTTACCATTTTTCTTGCAGAACATTTCTTTTAAGTCATACTCCCGTGATTCAGGCCACGGTGGTTCAGAGCAGGAGGAGTCACCCCGTACCCACAACACAATGACCCTTGGACACACTGGTAGAACACGAGACAGGCGTCAGATGAACGACAGTTTGGAAATAACTGGCGTTAATAGACCATCGGGTCGTCGTGCTGCATCGCCGTACAATCATACGTACACAGAGATACGCGATGGGGGTAGAGTGGGTGGTTATCATCAAGGACATTTGAGGGGTCTGGTTGGGGAGGATGATCCGGTGTATGAGGAAATTGAACGCGGTGGAAGTGGAATTGGTGTTGGTGTTGGTGAAATTCAGGTGTCAGATATGTCGGATGAGGATGGTAGAAGGCAGAGCGATATGAGTAGACAGTCTTCGCGAAGTTATGGGGACCATAGACCTTTGATACCGTACTCACCGGCCAATGATCGACTGATACATTATGGCCAGTCGGTTGATCGTAATGCACTGCAGTACGATCCATCGCAGTACAGTCCAGCGCAGGAGAGAACGCTCAATGCGTGCTGGGAAAAGTTGAGGAGACAGCAGGCCAAGTATGAACTTGGTGAGATGAATCGTATACCTGGTAATTTTGGTATGCCACAGCAGGATCATACGAGGACTGTTGCTGTTCTCGATGGACACACTGTTGTCTGTCATCTGCAGCCACAAACGGACATGTACACTGGCCGTGGAGTTCCCCCACCGTCCTACAGCGAGTGTTGAATAATATTACGAACAAAATAAAATCGCCTTTCATTACTTTGTTGGCGTCCACAGCTCAATAATAATCGCCGTTCTAGGTGAAGCGATTTATTTTCCTTTTCACTACTTCAACGACTTTATTAACGTCATTAGTTTTTCATTTCTTTCTTCGAATTTGTTTTTTTCGCGGGCCGAAATCTACGGGGATTTGAAAACAACGTATTTGAGACTGGTTTGGAGACGTGTGAGGATCCTTGGGATAGTTCTTGGGGGAGAGACCATTGCGGCTCTGTTGACTCTGAATAGGTTTTCATTTATTTAACACTTTTCTATTTGCTTTTTTGATGAAAACTGGAATGACAGTTTGAAATACATATCGTTTATTGAATTAACGAAACATGAGAGAAAAACCAATTATTCGGTCGATTAAACGATTGAAAATTGGATTGGAAAGCAATTTTAAATTTAATCCATGTAACCATTGTCATTCGACTAGTCGTGATTGGGAAATGAAATTTCCCAAAAATTCGTTTTCGTTTTTCTTTTTTTTTTAGTTTCGCTCGTATGCAAGAGTCAATCACAACTGCCATTGTCATAATCATTGTCAGATTAATTTCCTCCAGATGCTCTCCCAGTATCAATTGTACATTAAATTTTTGGAACGTTGCGTTTTTCATCCCGAAATGTTATTTTTATAAATATATGTAGAATGATATGTATATGTATTGTATACAATAACGTTGTACTAACGAGGAGGAAAGAAGGAAGAATAATGAAAAATGTGTGAAGGAATGATGAATGAACGCAATGGATCAGAAGTGATTGAAAAAAAAATATATTCATAATTAGATAGTGCGATTTTTCGGAGCGCCGTATTCTTTTTCGTTGAGACGGCAAAAGCGAAACTTAGTCACTGTTTTTTTTACTATATTTTTTAAATATAGAAAAAATATATCCTATTCGCGTCTTAAACACTCGATTTAATAAATTAAAAGAAAATAAAAATTTCGTGCCCTATTTATTTTTTACATATCGCAATTTTTCTTTTCTTTTACTACTGTAAATTTTTCCTCTCGTACTGGCAATTATATATAGGTCCAAAACCTCTTATTTACAATTGTAAAAATGAATTAATCGATGCTAGTGCGAGACTGATTTTTTTTCTTTCGGGCATGCAGTCAATTTGAACATAAATACGAATTTAAAAAAGTAATAATTATTTCAACACTATTTATTTTCCGCTCATTGATCGGATTTTTTGTAAGAAAAAAAAATACACAAGAGGAAGGGAAAAAATACTGCATTTACGGCAATCCCCCGCAAGCTCGGGTGAATTTAATCATCCTAGCGAATTTATAATAGTTAATAACCACAATCGAGTTACGGCCGTGTTAAGTGTATAAATGTTCTCCTTTTACTCCCAAATCGTTAATCTCTCCCCCTCCCAATCTCAGAATATTTCTGCAATAAATTTAAATCAAGACAGTTGTAAAGATGAAATCCTCTAGTATTTGGTCAGAGACAAAAGCACATACATGGGAGTAACTATTTGGACATTTAAATTGTAAATGTTTGCTAATTTTGTGACAATTGGAGGGCAAACTCAATGCATTTGAATCATGTGTTACAAAGGGAACACAATTTCTTTAAAAATATGTGCACGCAAAAAAAGGAAGACAAGTAGTCAAAACGAAATAATAATATGTATCACATTCCGCGATTCCTTGCCACAACATGACAACTCTGGGGCTCGAAAAATCATGTACGAAAAAAAAAAATTACAAAAGAGCCTGATATAGTGAGACTTTAAAATGGAGCAAGAAGAAAATCTTCCTTGTTTCCCAAATTGAATAAAAAAACATAAATGAGAGGAAGTATTTGACTGGAGGAATGAAAGTGCGTGTGAGAGCAAGTGAGAGCAAAACGTTACTACGTTTTTTTATGTTATTATAATTATTGTAGTTACTTATCCTCGTTATCCTTCGAAGAATTTATTTCGAAAAGAAGAAAAAAATTAACGTAAAAAGAAAACATGGAGAGAAAAGAAATGAATTTTTGTACATAATGTATATAATGCTTTGTACATGTTGAGTACTTGTAATGTAAATCAGATGAAAACAATGATTGAGGATGCATTAAAAAATAACTAAATGTGAGATACTTATAAGGAGAAGAGACTAGTTTAAATAGCCCAATCTGATTCATTGAAAATACTAAGAAAAACAATGGAAAAAAAACATACTACAAAAAAAACAATTGATGTGAGGACATGAGTATAAGATTTTAACTTAAGTCTTGACATAGGAATGTAAATAAATTAAGCAAGGAAAAGAATAAACAATTAAAACTGCCCAAATAACTATTGAATATTTTTTTTTATTATTTAACTAGTATGCAAAAAAATACAAAAAAAAAATACAAAATGCAATTGCTTCAGTAAAAAAACACTTCCGTCTTAAGTCTTCTTTTATATCGTAAAAGGATGAAATGAAATATTTGAAAGAAAATTGTTTGGCACAGGAAACAACAGTTTCTGTTCATGCGCAGGAGAATGATTAGATCAGATGGAATAAATAAATGTGTACCAATCTTTAAAATGGCTATTAAAAAATATTTATTTCATATCAGAGACTGTTCTTCTTCAAATTTCTGCAATAAACCCACAATACTTTCCATTCTACTCCTCTGAGCGCAAACTAACGGAGTTGCTCCATAATTATCCCGACATCGGAAATCAATTAATTTATTTCTGACGATATGTTGAACAACTGCACAGTTACCCACCGTTGCTGCTAAATGCAAAATTGTCTGTCCAACTCCATCAGTTTGTCGGACATCCGCTCCGAATTTCATTAAACATTCAAATACTTTGAAATTCTGAGATTTAACAGACTCATGGAGCGGTGTGGAGCCCGAAGAGTCACAAATACCAATCAGTCCTGGCTCAGCACTCAGTAAAGCGCTCACTGCACCAACACAACCGTGAAAGGCTAAACGCAATAATCAATTTTTCATTAATTCCCCTGGAGGAATTATCGTCGCAAAGTGATGATTAAAACTTTACCAGCAATGTGGAGAGCAGTTCGACCATTGTTACTAGCAGTCGTGGCCACCACTAACGGCTGCTGTAGTAATGTTTTTATAATGGATACATCACCAGCACGACAAGCCAATAATAACGGTGTCCATCCGTCCTTATTTCTGATTATGGGATTGGCACCAGCTTTTAATAATGCATTGACGCTTATTTTTGCGTCCGGACCGCTCTTGGTGCAGGCCAGCATCAGAGGTGTCCAATCGGCTCGTTTTAATGCATCAACTTCCGCTCCTAAAACGACAGAAATTATTGATTCAGCTTTGGAAGATGCCACTCATGGCACTCGATATTTTCAGATGAGCGAACATTTAATTCTCATTAGGCATTCAATATCCTGGCGAGATTCCGGTTATAGAGAGTTCAATTTTATTTGAAATTGTTCGGCAAACTTCAATAATCAGAATGACAATTGAACGAACGGGGAAATTTATTCTCATCTGAGTAATTGTACGTGTTTCACTGTTTGTCATTCCACGGAGTATGAAACAACATCAACATGAAATTTGCATCAGTCTGCTTACTTCGGCATCAATAAACATGAAGCAAACATGAAGTTTGATAAGACGCGTAGAAGTTTCGAGGGAACAGTGTTCCGTAACAATTAACTAAGTTAAACTGCACTTATCCGGTCTATGTATTCAAACAATATAAACCTTGGTCAATTAAAAATTCAACAATATCAGAGTGTGCAAACTGAGAAGCTTCGTGGAGTGGCCGTTTCATATCTTTATTAGTAACATCAACTTTGAATGCCGGATATGACCAGTCGTTGCACAAGCACTTAGCAATTTCCAAATGGCCCTCTCGCGCCGCTATGTGTAGCGCCGTATCTCCTGTACTATCATGACGATAAACTGTCCAGTCTTGAATTTCATAGCGGCCCGATAGCTCTTTCAATTTATCTAAATCACCACGTTGTGCGGAACGTAAAAAATCACGTGATGGATCAACACCACTGTTTGCCATCAAATGAGTCTTCTTTTGAGCGTTTTGCGAAAGTGAATAAACTCGCGTTTGTCGAGCCCGACTATATGATCGAAGATGTCCGGAGGGTCGGTAGGATGCCGGTAGACACACGGGGTTTATCTACTTAATGACAGGTGCTGCCACCTCGTTCTTGGAATTCCATTGGAACCAGCTTACGGTCAATGATATCAGTCAATAAGACGGGGAAAATGAGTCGGTGTAGCAGCTCGTTGCACTTTTGTCGGGTTGTAATAAATTTTAAGAGCTACAGAAAAATTATTCATCAAAGTTTTGGTCTTATTTTCGCTTTTTTTAAAGGATTTCTCATTTTTTCGCACCTTTTGGCGTGCTGACAAAACGAAAATTGATAATTTTCGTAGTATTAATTGCTCTCATAAAAGATTTATGTTTTTCAGGTCAATACATTCATTTTACGGAAAATTATCAAGTCAATGTTATTGAGTAAAGTATATCTTTGTTTATTAAACACTCATAATTTCCAGGGAACAAATGATAATTTCGAGAGGAAACTACAATTTTCTTGCTGAAAATTGTCTTATTGACAAAGCTAATTAAGTTCGAGGGGACAATTTTTTCAGGAGAAAAACTGTAATGAAAAGTAGTTTTTCGGCAGAGTTAATTTTTTCTCTCAGTGCAACAAATGAAGAGTTCAAAAGTCGAATGAAGTCGAGTTGCGAAATTGACGAGTCTAAGTCTGAAGAGTTGAAGTCTGTTGATCCTCACTTCCATAACAATAAATCCTCCAGTCTTGTTTTTCATATCGCTGCGCCTTATCCACTCAATACCAGGTGCTGCCATCTTGTTCTCAAAGACGACTGAAAATGTACCGATCACCCTGATATCAACGCTGATTGAGCAATCCTTTTCGGATTCACAGAATCAAAATTATAATGAAATGGAGGAATTCAATGACTCATACTTCCGCATGTTCTTCGAATAGATCCAATCACTTTATTTCCCCAACTTTCTAGAAACCATCCTAAATCGAAACCCCCCATCTATCAACATGTGATTTCTTAGTAAAGCAGACTATAAAAACCGCTTCATTTTCAAACGGTCCTGAGTCACGGATACGCTATAATTCCACAGTACTGACGTCTTTCCCTACGTAAACGTGGTTGCAGTATGAAAAATATCTGTTTCCACATGAAAAAGAAAACACTGACTTCACCGAGAAACAGCTCATCGCATGAGTATGAATCTTTCTCTCCAGCCAACTCCATGTCAACTATGCCTTAGTCACTGTTGAGCGCATCGCAGCGATAAATAATCATTCTACCCCAGTGAACTTGTTAATGTCGGTTTAAACTTGTCGGTGAACGAAAAAAAAGAAAGAGAACAGAGAAGGGGAGAAAGGGGATACGAGAAAAAAAATCGTGACTACTGATTTGTCCGTGCCAGGCTCCCCGACGTCGCATGCAATAACGCCAGGCATCTTCTTTTGTTAAACTGACTGACCTGTTATATATTAGTATTATTGATTGTTCATTCAGTATAACGTTGCAATGTTAAACATTCTTGGTACGTTCATTGTACCAGGGAAAGCCACATTGATGATTTAGTCACGATGGTAACACCATTAAAGTAGACCATCACGATCGATATATAGATACAACAACTACAAAACCATCCATGGAATTTGTGTTTATATACACGTGTGTTGCATTATCTACTTTTTCACATCGGTCTAAGGGGGGCCCACATGACGTTATTTCATATGAGAACAAGGACTATATGCATAACTGGTGATTTTTTTTTTCATGCGAAGGACAAATTAGGCAAATCTGTGGGAAACGACGAGCTTGTCATTTTCCTTGGATTTTATTATTTGTATTATCACTATTTTTATTACAACTTCAACCATGGGATTTATCTCTGCTGATGTGGAATCGGGCGCGGTGGAAGCTATTTCTAGGGGTAATGAGGCAGTAAAAGGATTCTCAAGGTTGCATTGTGAGGACAGTCTGCATTTTATTTATTTATAGCGATCGATTCGGGTTACTAATATTCTGCCGATATTCAATAGGGAAGAAACTGGGAATTATCAAAACGAAAATAGTGCCTCAAAAATTAATCAACCCCAATGTTGTTTCTTTTACGAGGGAAAGGGCGCGCGCTACGCGCACGTGAAATATACGAGTCTCAAGTTAAGCTAAGTCATCATCATAGATGGCTAATATTTATTCATTGTTCATATTGGTTTTAAGAGTGATTAATTTTTGGAAATAATTAAAGTTCTAATTTGATGTGAAGAAGAAATTGAAAAGTTATATGATATTATTTTTGCATTTTATTGTGGTCCAAAGAATTGTATCATGAATTAATTTGGCATTGAATTCCACTTCATTTTATATGAAATAAGGTTTGTCTTCCATATTCTTCTTCATTCTTTCTAATGGAAAAAATTTATACTGAAGAGTTGATCGTGTTTCATAAAAAATTAATGTAAATGATGATGATTTACCTCCCTTGAAATAATCCTAAGTCAAACATAGCAGACTAGATTGCTGACAAAAAACGTTACATTCTTTTTTGACAAGAGGAAAAGAGGATTTGGAATCTCTCGGAACATGGCTAGAGTCCTTCAGCCTGTTTTGTTTCTAAATAACAGGCACTTGACACACTGAACAAATATTAGTCATCCCTCCAGGAATGAGGAATTCGTCGGCAAATGTATTTTTCCTCATCCATAAAGAATTGTCGCCTAGCGATAATTATTCACTCTCCTGTCGTCTATTGACGAACTCAATTGGTCGTTATTAGGCAATGGAGGTATTTTATGAGGAAGTAATTTTTCAAAAAATAGTTCTTTCTCATTTTCCTCTTTACCATTAGTCCAGCGTAAATACGAGTCTCCTCTTCCTGCTATCAATATCTCCGCTATCTCAGCTTTGACAAATAATGTTTTATTACTTACCTAATGCTCATTGTTTCAACTCGACAGCAAATAAATCCCAACCACCAGTGTCTGCTTATAACGATGAGCATAACATCCTACCTATGTTTTCCTGCAATTATCTGCCAGCCAATAATACCTATCAATTACGTGCGATATGATGTCTGGTATAATCGTTGAATAAGCTTCTCGAAAATACGAAAGAGGAACTGCAGATGTCCCGTGAAAATGGAAATATAAAATAGGAAGAAACTGAGAGGGGCAATTGTCACTGCGAAAGACAAACAGTGGAAGACAATGATGGTGGAACCTATCAATTAGCTCGCACTACAGTTCAAGGTTCACACAAACGGCAAGGCCACCTGAGTAAAACCAATACAAATCGTCAGAGGATGTAGTGTACACGAACCCCATTGACCTTGTCATTTACACAATTCCTTAACAAACGTGCAATGCATCCTCAATCGATCGTATTTCAACATGAAATCCCTGGGTATGAACTTGAAAAATTCATTAAAAAATATGTCCCGCCGGTCAGCGAATTCTCCACAGCCGGCACCTGCCTAAATGACCAATCGACCCGCCTAGGCATCTGTATCATTGAATCCACGTTAAATTAATGCACGATAAGATAACGATGTCAGGAGTGGTAATGTATCTGTATGTAACGCAGACGATTGACACGGAGACAAGAATTACACAATGGAAAACAACGGAATTAGTCATACCAGGTTGTGAGAGATCGTGAGTCACGCGACTCGAAATACACAATCCGAAAAATATGCATCGGGTTAGAAACGATAGCGGTGAAAAATTGCAAGGGTGAAAGGAAAAACGTGTTATCATTTTCAAGTGATTTAAAACTCATTTTTCACGTTCATTCTTTATCTTTCATCTTGCTTCAATTATAGACCACAATAATAAGGTCGTCTTTTGTTTCTTCAACATTGATAAATTCCTTGAATTATTCATGAAAATCCTCAGGGAAATTCATTCGAATTATGGACATTTGAAAAAAAAGGTAACCGTGTTAATTGCTTAGCACTCCAACCAATCATCATTGAGTGGGAAATCCTAGAAATGACATTTCCTCACCATTAATTACAGCACAAAGAACATCACACCCCGAAACCGCGGCTAGAATGTTAATAACTAAAACAATTGTTGATAAAATAGAACTTTTTAATATTAAAACAAGTGGGACATTGGTTTCGTCACAACACAGTCAATATATTTTCGCTAATAAATTAGTAATTTGCTTCTGAATGGAATTTCTATGGAGATGTATTTTGAATTGAATTCAATGATTCATTGAATTCACCATTGCCCTAACGGTAAAATTGTTTTCCTTTCCTTGAACATTGATTTCAAAATAAATTTTGTCAACAACAGATGATGCAATCAGTCCCGTGATTGAACTCGGTCGATATGGGATTAAGAAGAATATTTTAAATCACAACTTGATTCATTTGAACAATGATTTTTTGCTATTTAAAAATAGCATATTCGAACTCCTGAGGCAAAAATTAGGAAATTTTGCTGAAAGCAGAAAAAAGTAAAAGTGTCAATTCGAGCCAATAAAATACAGAATGTTACGGGGGAAACCCTAGAAGTGACGTGTCCTCACCATTAGATGCCCGCCCAAAACAACGAGAAAAAACGAAAAATGATCTATTCCCTCCCTCATTATTTCCCCCGAGTGTTTGTGCCCGTGCGGCGTCCTATTGCGATCGGAATACCGATCGAATACCTCGAGCGAATTCCACGGAGCCCCCGGAGTCCGTGCATAAACGTTTGAAGGTGGATAAAAAGAGAAAAGAAGAGGGGATAACAACAAAAAAAAGGATCGAGTGAAAGAAAAAGGGAAGAAGGATGTGGGAGTGAGCGCGGGGTCGGGGTCTCTCAGTGGGGCTTAATAACGAGGCACTCTCGTTACTCGTAGGCATCATCGGGCCCGTTTAACACGGCAGCTAAGGCCGCGGTATTATATCGGCGCGTCACGGTCGCCACAGTGACTACAGGAGTGATGACTGCTGGGTAGGAGGCTATCCCCCTTGATGGTGGGAGAGAGGAGCAATTTTTTGCTCTTGCACCGCCCTCAATCCAGGGAGTTCAGCCAACTTAACTCTCCCCCTTCCAGTCAGCATCTCACTGCATCCTTCTGCCGCCCGCAAGAAGAAGAACAAGAGGAATAAGTGAGGAGAGTGGAGGAATCCATCCATCTGCTGCCCGCTGGTCAATTCCACCTCTGCCTCTGCACATTCCGGCATTAACATTGTACAACAATTTAACCGTGAAAACAATTTCCATTGTTTCCAAACGTGAAAAATTTAATTATCCATTTCTTCACGGGACTTCATGAGAAAGAGAGATCGTGCGAAATTACCATTTTTTGAGGGTTTTTTTATTTCTTCCTACACGCATCTCCATAATATTTTATTTCTGAAAAGGAGAAAATTGTTAACAATTGGGAGTTGAAGGTGAGGAGGCCTGGAACGAGGCATTTATTGAAGGAGAAAAGGAAAAAAAAGGGGAGGCCGAAGAAGCAGTCGAAGAGGAAGTGGAGAACGGATACCTTAACGTGGCGCGCAACACCACGCGCAGTCGATTACGAGCCAGAACACGTTCCGCACGATTTCGTTTGCCCGCCGCCGCGGCAAACCGTGACTACTATTTACTCGGAATTTACAAACTTCTAGTGTATGAAAACATTATCGGGTTGCCTATTAAATTGCGGTGATAATTTATTTTTCCAGCGTGTGATTTAATGCGTTTGTGTCACGGTCAGTGGGTGGAAAAAATTGAGAATCAGGCGGAAAATTGTAACGAGTGGATGAGGAAAATTGAAATTGTGTCAACGGTGCAGTGCCAGCCGGAAATTTAATGACGGTTGTAGTTTCCCGCCATTGCTGAACAGGATGCTCAAGTTGTCCGTTTACGATTGAAATTTAAATACCGCGTACCAGTTGATAAATCATTGTGGTGTCACGTGAGGCGGACTATTCATCGAGCGATTCGCGAGTTTTGAGTCTCATTGACTAGTGACAAGTGTCCAAGTGAAGACCAGTTGTTGAAATTACCTCGTAGTCCTGAATTTTCCCTCCCGAAATATCTTTCCCTCGAAGAAATTGAAGAGACATGAGCTAATGGTGAATTCGCGTGGATGACCTTAGACGACCCGGCATCGATCGACACCGCCCGCGTTCACACACATGGTTGCGATCACGAAAAGCCAACAGCGGAAATGTTTTCGAAAATTTTATTCTGGGTTACCCTCCTATATCTTCAGACACTCTGCCTTGGTAAGACGATATCAATTGTCATTCATAATCAATTTCTCATGTGCAGGTATATCCGCTCGTGGGAATGACGATTATCTGCTAGTTCAATCACCAACAGTTATTGAATGATAAAAATGTGTTGTGACACTTGCGCACCGTAAACACTCTGACCTCTTTTGAAAATTAACGCGGGTGTTTCGCGGCGCCAGGCGTCATTTATCAGGTCTTCTTCGAAATGCCACCGACTCCGCGAGAAAACAAATAACAGGGAAACTAATGATAATGCGCTATAATCGCGGAAAGGCCTTGGGCGATGGCCAGTTGCAAGTTCTTGCAGATTTGCGACGAATTTTGTTGAAAATAGAATACTAGAATTCCCTATATTTCCGCAGTACAACGAATTTTGCGATAACTAACCGCAAAAATATGGCTCTGAAATATGTTTTTTTTTTATGTTCTGTGCGTTAAAAAAGTCATAAATAAAGTGATAACGAGTTGGGGTGTTGTGTCGTGGGCTGCAGTTAAAGAATATTCTTGGAACAAAAAAAATTAAAATAGTCATCTCAACTGAAGAGTCACAACAGAAATTACTTACGTCATTACCCAAGCTGCATGGATTGAAGCGACTAATTTTGTTTGCGTAACCACAGGATGCACGGTTCTGCGTTCTCGAGGAGATTCCCCTTGGAATTCTTTACGAAAAGCGAGAACTTGACACAATGAGAGAAAAAAAATGCACAAGCACGTGGCGAGGGAACGAGATGAAAAAATGTCTCCGATACCCTCCGAAAACATTTTCTCATTCAATTAAATGAACTCATTATTTACTTCATTGAATTATTGGTATTTATCCTCCAGGCTTTAGACAAGTGTCAAATAACTCCTGTTGTTTCATTCAATTTTGACGATTTATGGTAGTGATAAAATATTCCCCACGACGAAGAATAATATTATGACACAGTGGATGAACATGTAAAGACAGAGGTCGTCACGATCAGGTTTGAAATACAAAAAATTCCAATTCGTCGCGTCTTTGTGCAGAAAAAAGCTATTCGGAGGAAAAAACAATCAACGAATAGAAAAAATGCAGAGAAAATTATTATAGAAAATATTTGGAGATGTCCATGAAATCAAAGTTGTCATGTTGAAGTTTAATGTGAAAACCATTTCAATTCTTCAATTTTCTCTTTAAAAAATACTGCAGTGAAAAATAATCAACTGTATGTTGATAAAAAGACTTCCGTCAGCCCATCAATGGTATATTTTACGTAAATAACATTTAATCGAAGGGATTAGATCTATTTTTGAAAAATTAACCAGCTCGAAGTGAGAAATTCAACATTTTTACGAGTTAGAATTTTTTTTTATGAACATAAAAATTCACACTAGTCGATGTAAAGCCACCCCATATAATTATACCGCAATCGAATATATTGACGATGAATAAATATTGTTTAAACAAAATTATTCATTTTCTTATTCTTTTCCAGCGATTTTTGTCGTTCGTGTGACTATCACTAAACCGTAAATCATGAGCCTAAAACAATTAACAATTCACTTTCATCAGAAACGTATCCCATACATGCTGCATACAGAACGCCATCCATTAAAGAGTCCACAGATAAGACAAACTTGAAAAATAAAGAGACCGGTAGCCGGTGAAAGAAAGTGCCGGAACTTTTACAGTAGGACCGTGACCCACGGATTAATCATCACGTGAGTATACGAACGGTCGAGAGCCGAGGAGAGAATAAAAAAGAAGGCTAAAAGAATGGAATATCGACAAAGACAGAGTGGAGAAAAGAATGCTCGGCGTCACGGAGAGCAGCAAGCATTTGAGATGGAATCCTGTAATGCCTGTATACTCACGGGAGGACCCCATCACATTCCCGCTGGGGGCGATCCTTTATTCATGGTCCAATAGAAGTTGGCTGCCGCGTGACAGGACTGGTTCCTTCGATGGTTAAGCCAAATGTAATGCCTGGAATTTGGGGATACTTAAGCCCCTTTCTCCCCTCACCACTTTCCTCAATTTTGTTCCGTGTTTGTGCATTCTTAACATCTTTCTTCTCTCGGATCATTTTTTTTAATACATGTTTTCGAATCGATTAAAATTCGATCGACAAGCACACTTAAACACACGCGAGACATTTTTTCGGCCAGCTTTTACTACCGACATAATTACGTATCTGATATCAAATGTAATAAATGTGAATTCTGAATGCATTGATTTATTTAATTGGATGAAATTGGAACGGAAATTATATTCATTCAATATGACACGGAACCTTTTGATTAATTTAATCACTTGAAAATAGTGCCAATGAAATTTCCATTTTCTCCTGGAGAAAGAATATACGAAAGGGGAATTTTCACTCGAGCTTCTGACCTAGAAGTCAAATTTAACTGCAAATTTATTGAGTAAAATATACGGAGAACGATCGAGTCGAGGAGTCGTAAAACAAGACGACTTAATATCACTTGCGTTTTTTGTTAAAATAACGCGCAATTGGCTGGAGGCAGCTAGCATGTATAAAATCGCTCGCGCCGCGCGCTCCGGAGTTTTGTCTGCCTCTCATTGCTGTGCAATAAAACAATCGAATAATTTTCGACCATTTTGGGGCACTCGGGGCATTAAGGCCGGAAACTCCAGCTGTCATTGGAATTTTACAATAAAAAAAAATACAAAATGCTTGAATTTCAAATAAATCTAATAGTGTAGAGTATGATTGGATTTAGAAAAAACTCCTCCTATTCAAAGAAGAGATGTGAAAATGGCCATCATATTTTTTTGTCATATGAAAAATTAACGATGACGTAAAATTTTTTGTCATAATTTGCGTAATATCACATTATTTCCGCTATTTAGATGGGATATATGTCTAAAAAAATATCACTAAATTGAGAAGTCATCATGAAATATGGAATACTGCGGTATGTTTACTGCTATTTAGATGAAATATGACGATTACCTAAGATTAATGTCACAAAAAATTCAAAATCGCGGAGTGTGATCAGAAAATTTTATCAAATTAAAGGGCAATTCACTTTTCATCAACGTTTTCTCATTGACGTTGACGAAAATATTGTGGCAGACCATCTATTTAGTTGGGATATGACCTTCACATCGTAACACCGTCATAGTTGGTCATATGACGTGTCATAAAATTTTTGCACATCCCTAATTCAGCGTAATGTATACAGAATGATTTCACAACTGAATGAGAATTTCATAAGACCAAGAAAGAAGTTTCAACCTTCCGGGTTTCTCAAATTCCAGGATTACCAGAGAATCTATCGACCGAGTCTACAAGTACAACGACACCTGCCTCAGTAGCTGCTGTGATCTTATCACGTAACGAGTCATCTCTAGTTTTTTTGGATATTCCCCAGCACACAGTGACGCCACTGGGTGCCTCGGTCCTATTAGCATGTAGAACAGCCGAACCTGTGATTGACTGCCAGTGGTCCTGGAGGCCACTACCCCCCATCCATCTTCCACTTCCTGATATCAATAATTCAGAGGAGATTAATGAAACAACACCAGTCATTGCAACTGTACCACCGACAGCTGAGACGCAGTCATTACCAGTCAGACTGTTTCCAGCTTTCGGTAACAATAGCAATGATTGTTCAGTGAGATTTACTAATACTCAGTATGAGCAGATAGGATATTGGACGTGCGCTGCGAGGAAATCCAGTGATGGGGATTTCGTCAGTACAGAGCCAGCGAGATTAACCATATCCACTGAAAAAAATGGTGAGGATGCATAATTGATTGTTTCAATTATACCCTTTTCCATCCGCCTCCTATTTCTGACTAAAATTATTCCCTTGCAAAGACAAGCTTCTAACGATAATAAGAAGAGGAATTGCCTTTTTATAACAATTAGTCACTGCTTTATTTGTGTATAGATAATTATTACCGTCAACAGCGTCGCGGAGCGCAGCCATAGTGTAATCTTTATAGAAGGTGCTCGATTGTGAGTCATGACACTTCTTCAGGATGTGGCGACTCTTAAGAACAATGAGTATGATTCAGTAGTCAAGTGAAACCAAATAGATTCGTTGCACTTTTGGAATAGTGAAATTTTGATGACTTTGTTGTAGCTAAATTGTTATCAAGTGACAATTTCACTGAAAATTTAAGGAATTTCGTCATTGAAAATTCACAATTTGATGACAAAATCAATGAAAACTGTGAATTTTAATCCAATCAATCCATGAATTAATAAATTATTATGTAAATCATGAATTAATGAGAAAGCAGGAAATTGCAGGTGACTACATTGTTGCCTTTTTAATTAATTAAACATTCGAGTAACTTAAAATTCTTACAATAAAAAAAAGTTGAAGACTTCTGGTCATCTTGCTGTTCAAAAAATTTTGAATGGCATTAAAATTTCAGCAACATCTACTAAACCATACATGGAATTCGAGTTTTTACAATAAATACCTGAAAAAGTTCTTTTCGCGGCGGTATACTGCGCGTGAAGTGTTTGTTTTCCGCACCACGTGCGTAAAGTTTAAAAATTGTGAGAAAGTAAATTATAATTCACTCTCAATGCACTTTACGCACTCGTGCATAGAAACAACCACTTTACCCCCACTACTGTTTCGAACAGTGACTCGGCATCGCAAAAAATAGGATATGTTACACGTACGTATAAAAAAGTTGATCTTTACGCAATAGCAATATAATAAGCTATTACACTGATAGAACGGATTAGTTATTGTTAACGAATGGATTTTGGTTGTAGGTTAGGGTCTATTCGGTCCCACCAAATGCTCATTCGTTAATAGTTAACGAATGTATATTTGAGTAGCTTTGTTTGACTTAAGTTTCGCCATTCAAGTGACCCATTCGTTAACTATTAACGAATATTCATTTGGTCATATTCAACTCTACCATTCGTTAATAGTTAACGAATCTCGTTTGGAATAAATGAATCATTCTATCAGTGTATAAACGACCTAGAACGTTACGCACTCCGTGCAAAAAGACACTCACGTCCCACTACACTCCCAAAAAGTGAGCTCAACAGGTGTCACCAAAAATAGGTTGTTTTACGCGTGTGTACGAAAAAGGGAAACTTTGCGCCCTAGGACTGCAATAGTATATTTCGATACGAGTGCGTAAAAGTATTTTTTGACCCGTGGGAGATGGATAGCACTCGCTGAAGGCGAGTGCCACGCTCCCAAAGGTCAAAGAACCCTTATCCCACAAGTGTCGAACCCAATTTTCCATCACCATGTCTAAAAAACGGGATATTTCATCACTTTACGCACAAGTGATGAAACATCCAATCTCTAACAGTGTAGCGGTTTCTTTTCAGAAACAACGATAAAGTTCGTGAAAACCGAGGATCCGGAAGAGGCATCACTTGGCTCCTCCGCGCAAATAATTTGTCGTACAGAAACACCGGTGAAGGAGTGCGAATGGTCATGGCGAATGTTCGAACAAACGGAACAGTCGAGTTTGGAGATACGAAGATTCACCTCATTTGGCCCTGACAACACAGACTGCAGTATTAAATTCAAGAATGTATTGCCCCAGCATGAGGGATTGTGGACGTGCGGTGCACGTAGTGATCTCAATGGCGCGTTCGTACTGGCGCATCCCATACGTTTTTTCGTATCCGAAGGTATGTTTACGTTATCTCCTTCTCGCTCAGTTCTCTCCTTCCCACTGTAAGGGAAGATTGAATCAATTGTCTGTAGTAAACTACTATTAACTGGAATCTGATCGTTAAATTCCAGTGAAATTCGTACAACTCTCGAGTGGCATCCAGATTGCCGCTGGGGAATCTGCACCACTGAAATGCCTGGTGGACAAACCGGTCGTTCAGTGCGAATGGTCTTGGAAAGCCATAAATTCCAGCAGCGAACCGACGGTTATCAAAAAATTCACTCCAAACAGCGATAATGATCACGACTGTTCAGTGAAATTTAAGAATGTACTGTATGAGGAGGAGGGATTGTGGACGTGTGGCGTTAGATTGACGAATACGGGACAGGTCCACGAGGCACCGCCGGCTAAACTTACTCTACTACCTGGTGAGTTTAGACGGGTCGGGAATTCAGGAGAATGTGACAGTTTTGGGAATTATGGAAATATGGGGAATTCAAGTGGTTGGGGCAGGAAATATCAAAAGATCTTCATGCAACGTCATGATTATGACATTCTCTCCTAAAATCGATAATATGGAGGATGATCAACACTTTACGGCTAAATTCAGTAGAATAGTCGTAGAGCGAGACAATTCAACTTAGTTTTGGGGGTGAACTTCTCGTAAAATCGTAGGGGCATAGTGAAATTTTCGCACGCAGAGAAAAAATGTAGAAAAAACGATTTCTGTGATACTTCCCTCAAAAGTGTACTTTTCGAAACGGTTTATTGTGCATAAAGCGGTTGACATTCTCTCCTAAAATCGATAATATGGAGGATGATGAACACTTCACGGCTAAATTCAGTAGAACGGTCGTAGAACGAGACAATTCAACTTAGTTTTGGGGGTGAACTTCTCGTAAAATCGTCGGGGCATAGTGAAATTTTCGCACACAGAGAAAAAATGTAGAAAAAATGATTTTTGTGATACCTGCCTCAAAAGTGCATTTTTCGAAACGGTTTAGTGTGCGTAAAGCGGTTGTTTTCCACACGGCGTGCGTAAAGTAAATTCTCCAAACGTCACCTGAGTTTCCCCTTTATTAAAATTGATTTGGCTTTTTTTATTTCAGCAAAGATAAGTTTTGTAGAGACCCCCCAAAACAATACACTCGTCGTCAATACCCAAGAGATATTGAAATGCACAATGAGTGGACGAGTAGAGAAGTGCTCCTGGCTGTGGCGTCCCTTGAATGGAGACGCGGAAGCAACAATAGTGAGAGAATTTGCAGGAGTGGGAAGTGGTGGAAAAAACTGCAGCCTAGATTTTCCTCAAATTAGGGTTGAGGATCAAGGCTACTGGGCTTGTAGAGTTTCGGTTCCATCCACCAATACACCTGTCACGTCTCCGTTCGCTAAAATTGTCGTCTACGAGCAAGGTAATATCACGTGATCGAGTTTCAATCATTATTTCGGGAGGGTAACGGAAATTGTATCGGATGAAGGACGGTCGCTATTTCGATAGTTGTCAAATGGGGATAGGGTCATGGAGAATGTGATCCATGAATATGCATATCTTGATTATCAGAACAGAAGGACACCAATGCGTTATGCATTGGTCGATGTCGTATATAAATTCGGGGGGGATTTAATAAATACCAGAGTTGACATTGGGATTATCACAGAATGGATGGAGTGATTCCTGTATTAGTAGCGAATTTATCTATTGATCTTTGCAAAGTTTAATGTTAATGGGGCATAATTCCCGAATAATTCAATTACCATTGAATTTTCATTGCACACGGCTAAAGCTTTTTGCATCGATTTTTCGCATCAGGGGCCGGAAATTTCTAATCAGTGACATTTTTCCTGAAATTTCGGAAGATCTCGGCATTGAAAGATCGCATATTCAATTCATTTTCTCATAATTTAATGAGAAGTTCATGAAAGCTGTAAATGTCAGTTCAATTATAGTCTATGAATAAATTGGTGAATTTTAAAATGATTAAGAGTACAACCCAGTTGTGGAAGATGTGTGTTATTTTTACTTGAAACCATCTGAAATTACTTGGATTCTCCCCGAAAATTGAAGTGTCATAAGTGTTGATTTTATTAGGAACTATCATAGTTCAGTATTCATTTTCCAGAGAGCAACACATAATTCCCTAACTTACTTGAATTTTTAATTCGAACATGAATATTCAGTATCAAATTACACTAAATTGTTAATTAATTGATAATTCAACAAGATATTTAGCTTAATTTTATCGACTTGTTATTCTATTGACTTCTCTTGAACTTCTCTGTTGTTTTCATTAACCCATTGCTTCGCGTCAGTTTCGAATCGTCTCGGTGTGAAAGAAGTGGGGGGTCCGTCCGAGATTAGTGCGGCATAAGAGAAGCACGTTGGCGCACGCGCACCACCGCAAAACGGCGAAAAGTGGGGTACCGTGAGACGAAGCAAAGGGTTAACCGAATCCCCTCATGAATTCCCTCAAATTTCAGTGGAACTGTCACTTCACAGAAATTTCTAATAAATATCCCCCACACTTGAGTAAAAAATTCTGACTATCCATGAAATTTCATGTTTTAAAGTAGTACAAAATGACTAATGATTCGGTGCTTATTTTCCAGACAAACTCGAATTTTCAGAGTTATCTCAGGACATTCAAATATCGTCAGGAAGTAGTGCATTCCTCAAATGCGTCACATCATTGTCAGTCGAGCAGTGCAGATGGTCTCTGACCCCGGTTAATTCAAACACGACAGTAGTCGTTAAACAATTTTCAGCAATTGGACCCGAGGGCCGTGACTGCAGTGTAAGACTGAGTCACGCTCTCGCTGAGCAAGAGGGTTTATGGACCTGTGGTGCTAAAGTTCATGGCAAGGAGAATTACACATATGCACCACCAGCAAAACTTAGCCTTCTCGAGCAAGGTATCATTGATTCGAGGAAAGAATAGAAGGATCATGGTGGTGGTGGTGGTGGTTGACGAAAAATGGCATTCTCATTCCCTTTTGAAATGGATGTGCTAATGAACGAACCAAGTTCCTTCATTTCTACGCAATGCTCATTAGAATTAGAGGAAGAACAATTAATTTTTTGTTTTGAGGGATTTGCCAGCAGCATTGAGCCCTCTCATTACCTCATTTTGTGCCAGCAAGAGGTACTCTCAATGAAAAATTTGCATTTATCAATTGTTTTGCTACAGTTCACACTCATCACTACGATTCCCTTCCGTGTTTTATTGTTTTTTCGATTCTCCCAAGGCCACTCTTTGTGCACGAACTTGTTGTTCAACCACCAACTGTGAGTTTATTTCACCACACTTGGCTTTTTTATCATCATCAGTATCTTAATTTTTTTATACCATAAGAGACTAGAGAAATTGTGCAATGTACAAAGTTCTGAGGGAGCAAGAAGACTCTTCGTTATTTTTTTCTCGTTTCTCCTTCTCGATGTAGCATCGAGTATTCTTCTGTGCCTTGTAATTATTTATTTTCATTCATCGCAATCAGTCGATTATTATTAACTAAATGATTGTACTGAGTTACAGCTCTAGAATGATTGACGAAACTACTGAGATTTAAGTAGACCCGTGTGTTTAAGTTAATTTTATCTTGATAATAAAAATGGGAAAAGAGAAAATGTGAAAAAAATACCATTATCTGTATTCATTCATTTATGTTACCTGTTATCATAAAATCCATGTTTGAATCAGTGTTTAAATTACGTGGAAATGAGGATGTGGGGGAATTGCACATCAACTACTGTTCACGCTTGATCTTCAACGATGATATTTGCACGCACACGGTGATTGATGGTTTTGTTTAAATAATAGACCACTCAGGTATTCGGTAAGCTGATTTCACAGTCATTGATCATTGGGCGGAGGCGAGAGATTAATGGATTAACTTTTAGAGCCAGTGGCAGTGGCAGTGTGGACGAGTCCTCATCAAAAAGTTACCCTCGCTTGCAAACTCAGCCCAATGCCACTAAATGCCAAATGCCAGTGGCTTCATCAGTCCAACGATAAAACTGCGGGGAACGAAACTATACGGAAGAGGTGATTGCTTTTTTTTGTAGAAATGTAAAATTTGTGAGTGGCAAAATGACAACGATTATGAGATTTTCATGCGAAAAAATGAACGTTTGGGTGATTAGGCAGGATATGAAAATGAATTACACGAATGGAATGTGCACACTCCAGTTCAAACCAGATGATAACGATATAGGATCCTGGACGTGCCGGTTTTATATTGATACTGATGAGGGGTTTATTGAACTGGGGAATGCTACGTTGATGGTCATTCAAACTGAATCTGGTAAGTACGCTGTTTGAAAATTACACCTGAAATTTCAAGTGAAAAAACTTGAAATCTTCAACAACGAATGATTTATATGAAATTTCCATTTATGGTATTCGTCACAAATGTTTAAATATCGGAAGTTTTTGATGAAATTTCAATTTTGAGGTTCATATGGCAATAAAAATAACTGAAAATTGTGAAAATTCATTTGAATCTATTGAAAATTGAAATGAATGTGAAAATTGAAGAACAGCAGGAAGACGAGAGATGCTCAATGTACTTGAATTTTCAATCCAAATACTCAGTACTAAATTACGCTGAATTTCCAATTACATATAATTGAATTGGTTTTTTCCATTAAATTTTCATGGAGAACTCAATTTTACTGAATTTTAAAAACTAATAAGAAATTTTATTAGCGATTTTATAACCATTAGACAATATTCGACTCGGGCCCTACTCTCCTCGATCATTTTGTTCTGTCATTTATCTCTAATTCTATAAATTTTTATTCAGCTGATGGAATCCTTGGTTGGATCGTCGGAGCAGTGACAACGCTCATTCTCTTCCTCATGATTCTCATCGTCGTTTTAGTCGTGTGGAAGGGAAAATTATTCAACAGAGGTTCTCGAGTCCTCGAGACAGTGTCTTTTGATCATCCAAATAACATGAGACTAAGAAGCACTGAAAATAGGCAGTCACGGCGCAAGAATGAGACTCAATCGAACGAGGAAGTTATCCTCGGTGTTAATTCCAATTACTATGCCTCCCTGAGTCAATACCACCCCCCTACATCGAGGATATACGAAAACTTTACTACAACATCGTGAATAAGTTGGCCAGATATACATATAAAAATTATTTCTCTGATATTATTAAAAAGAATATGTACAAATGCTCAATTTAAAATATTTTCTACCTTATTTCAAAGCGTCTAGCTGACTCTGGATTTTTTCCAAGTGGTTGTAGAACTCTGTGAGGTGGGATTTATCCATTTCGACGGTTAATCTTTTCGATTCAGTTCCAGTGAGGTCTAGTTGGAGGAGAATTGAGGGTTTTGCCTCCAGAGAAATTGCAGATGATGCTGCTGGAATGTTCAGTGTCCACTTCACGTCCTCGACCTTGAAAAAAACAGAAATACAATTATTGAATAGAAATGAAGGAATTTAATATTTTTATTTTATGTCGTTGAATTCGTGAGTGAGAACTTATTCTAGAGAAAGTAGAGTGAATGAAAATTTTCAAGTACCTCACTAGGAAAAATTGACTTATGCCTCAAAACGTCAATGATCCCCTTTGCATATGTAATCCAAGCATTCACGAATATCGAGACTTTGTCCTCAGACACTGGGAAAGATTCCTTCATCACCGACTCCATAACTGCCGGTTTAACAACACCAAATGCAGCTTGAGAGTATATCAATGTGATGGTATCAAGAAGTAGGTCCAATTCATCTCGTTTGACATTCAAGGAAACCAGTAGTTTCTCTTCTTCGTCCTGACTAAATGCTTTTTCAGTTTTTCCTGAATTTAAACTCTGGCAAATTCGGTTTACCAAGGGACGAAATTTTGCGTTGTCTATTTGAGTGACGACTTCCAATCCCTGCTGCAGTCTTAAAACAGATAAAATAACATTTGCGGTTGTGTTCCTATTGAGATACACTGAGAACAAAAAGCCGATGTTCTCAAACAGGTTTGGTTTTGACCAGAAAAAATCGAAAGTTAAAATCACCAAAAGAGGAATTATTTATTTGGATTTGAAAGTCTCAAAGATGAACAATCGGTCTGCTTTCAACAACGAAATATTAATTCAAGAGACAGATCATTCGTATGAGAGGGGAGTTTATCAAGGAATCTTATTCCTAAGCTACGAGATCGCTATCACGTCAGCATTATTATTTTGTTTAAGAATTAATTTCTTATCTGTGAACTTATTATCTTATTTCGCATAAAACGAGCATTTTTCGGGAGGAAAAACGTATGGGAGTATCGAAGAACGAAGAAATAGTGTTGGAAAGGACATTTCTAAATATATTTTGGCAACAAGAAGTTTCCACCTCAGGAACAGTCTTCAAATGGTCAGCACTAATTTCATTTTTGTGTAATATTTACGATTTGTTTGAAAAAATATTCCTTTTTCTCTCAAGAATTCGCGTGTTGATTTGAAATACCTGGGTGTCACAGTGATCCAAGAAGTCATTGTTGCAGTTATTCACAAATTACTTCAGTCCTTTGACAGGTCAAAACACTGAAATAACCTCAAAATAGTTTCTGCTGTCATTCGAGTCCAACTATGGGCGGGCCGGTGGAGGAGAGGGGTCGTTTGTACAATCTCAGATGGACACATTCCGTTTTGGACGTGATTCCGCTTGAAATGAGGATAACCCCACCATCTCTCACCGTGCTGCTGCACTAAACATGTTGGCTGGTAAGACATTTCCTGAAGATGTCTCTAATACCGAGCCCTTTTTGACCATCTCATTGGAATATGCGCATCCGGGATTTCAATTGAAGGCCCGAGTTTGTAGCAG